TCAAACACACGTCATTTTCTAGCCATTGTGGTTTCTGCAAATATATTTTTTTCTTTTTGTCTCTGCATTTATCGGTATTAATTCTCTTTCTTATTTCATTTTTTTCCCTCTCATTTTCCATTCACTATTTCGGTTTTGAAATCGATACGATAGCCAGAAAAGCTCTACAAAATAATGCCTCTTACTTATCAGTGGGAATTAATYATGACCTCTYAAATCGATTCATCGTTAGAGCTTCAGAAAGACTCCTTCATTCGGCTGAAAAAGCTCTTGAGATTTTGTCTAGACGACACTTATGTTTGGCAGGCAACCGTGAAAAATGAACTAGTTAACATCTCTGAAATGGTCTCCAAAGTGCTAATAAATACTGACAAACTATATAAATAGTGAATGATTTTACTAAAACCAGTACAATTTGTCCGCCAGCAACACCGCTCGGTTTGGGTTGTCATAGCATCCTTTTAAAAGGAAGGCGAACATGACATCGCTGTTTACATAATTTGACACGCACAAAATTCAAATTTAATAATACAAAAAAATTCTCCTTAATACAAGAACTCAGGATTTTCCAATCTTTGCATTTATGGCTGAAGTAGTTGAGTCCAGACAATAATATCGTGACATGACGTAATGAGCAGTGACGTSATTTTATGAATAATGCATGACGGGATTGAAGCCCTCGCACTTTTCATTATGTTTTAAGCCAGAGCTATTTTAATTCTTGGCAAAGGGAAAAAAAACACAAAAAAGGAATTTGCTGTTATTATTGAGGATGTTGCTATCAATWAATATTTTAAAAACGGTTGGGAAACCTTGTTCTTAGAAGAAAATATACAGAGAAGACCTGGGAACGAGGTTGACAGCTGGGATATCAAGTTGAGGTGGCCACAGGAAGCCCAGTAAAAAAAACAGTCCGAGAAGAACAGACGSACAAACTCTGACACTCAATGGTATGCGCTATTTCAGTACAGTAACACTTTTTAAAGGGTACAATTCTGACACCTTTTGGTCAATAATTTGCCATTTCTCGACTGGGTTGCCATTTTGGACTTTTCAATGTTTTTAGCCTAAAAAATCCTTCTCCATATTTAATTTCCGGAACCAGGGCTGCAAAAACTACCCCCCGACTTGATTTTTAGAATAGGATTGTGGGAGACGACCGGAAACTCTGCTTTCATTCCGGTCTCTCTCTCCTGGAGCTCCGACCAAGAGAACACAGGAAGCCCAATCACGCAGCTCAGAGGAGACTCAACGATTCATTTTGCTTTGCGTGACTAAATATCCGACACGCGGACGCTTAGTTGAGTTACATAACATAGTTACATAACAGACGTTGCGACAACACGTGAATTTCAAGGAGCGTGATTGCCCCCTGTTATTTATTTTTGTTTCTTTTGATTTTCGTCAAATCAAAATGAAAATATAGAATTTGAAATGAGAAATATCATTCCTGATGATTAAAATAAACACTTACGACATGAAAAGTAAGAACTATTAGTGCAAAAACAAACAACTTATTTGTTTTGGAATGTACTACAATTTATTGTTGTCACGTATGGAATTTGGTCTGGACAGATTACACCGTTTTTCCTGGAGTAGATGCATTTTTCTCAGAGCCTTGAAATAAAGTCGCAAGAAGGATTTATAGTGCACTAAAATCTTGCAATTGATCGAATATTTATTGGGTAATAACGGAAATGTTTTCTACGGTCTGTCGCGGGGGATCCTGGTCAACGCAGCATGATTACCGAGCTGCAACTGCGCTTAMAACCACCTGGTTCTTTCAAAAWWTTGTTTTTCTAGGCATATTTATGTCTATTTACAGTGTACAGTTAATAGGGACGTAGTAATTATGGGGAATAGGAATGAAAGCCATTCTCTAATCAAACTAAAAAAAAACATGACGTGACGTGACTAGCATTTGTAAATTGAAAGTCTCATGTACATTTGATTTTCAGGATTTTTTCAGTGATTTGTTTGTAAATGGAAATGTATTATTCAGCTTCTAGATAATACCACTGATGGAAATTCATAATGACCTTTTAGGATTCAATGAAGTATGGGCAACGGAAAATCTTGTTCGCTCTCTTGTTTCCAGTTTTAGGCCAAACCACGAGTCGCATCTCGTAATTTTTTAGCCAGTGGTAAGCTAGCACTATCAGGCTGATAAGTGTATTACTCGTTTTCAAAAATCTCTCTTTAAATGAAGAAATCATTTTTCTTCATACAATTTTAGGACTCTTTTAGGAGTTGTAGGTTGCTCTGCCTTTGAATGAGGGGTTAGGGAGCCACTTCAGATTGCAAAACTTTGGGATAATATACAAAAAAAAAAACACGTTTTTTTAATTGACATACTTTCCTACTCTGGTTACTGAATAACTTTTATTTTAATATACATATTTACAATTTGTCAGCATAGCTTATTGATGGAAAATATACTGCTCTATATATCTCATTRAATGTTCTTATCTTGTTTGATTACCTAATTGTGACAGCATTTTTTGGCATTATCTGTCAATACTGGTATTTCATTATAGTTGGTGATGGTCCCGGTTCTTTGATATCATGGCTATTTACATCCCTGTATACATTCAAGAATATACATGTCCTTAGCTGGGAATTTTTGCTAAGTGATTAGTCTTTRTCTGTGATAATGTGTTCAGGATAGCTGGCAAAGTCATTGTGAAACACTTTTGACAATGATATGTGAAGGTATTTGCCGTTAGTGCACTTGCTATCGGACTGTTTCAGTCACCTTTTCTAATCCAATGCCTCCTGCATCCCTTTCAAGGCCATTTATGATTGTTCTYCTAGAGCTTTGCAGGGAATTTTTTGATTTGTGAACGGGTAGCTTGCCATATGACAGTCGTGACTGTTAGCACGTTTGAATTTTGTTGTTCAGTTGCAAGTCCTACAGCTCGGTTGTACACAAGTCTGTTTCAGGTAAATCTTCGACGCTCGACAAACTCGAGCTCTCAACAGCCAAACTCGCGGTTTTGTACCAATATTCGTCGGCAATTCCAGAAATGACTGCAACAGAGTGACTTCGCACATTAGGCCTTTGCGACTCCACTTTTTCAAATCTGGGAATGACTTCGTCCAGCTCATTCTTGCCCGAATGCAGCAATGATTTAACTTTTGCAGCAAACGAAAGAGATTTTGCCCTCGGTCTCTTTCTATCCAAGTTGACAACACCGTTGTCCATTTTGCTATGCATTGTGTTCATGGATAAACTAAGATGGTTTTCACAGATTTACTTGAGATGCTTCGTCTGTGGACTGTCTCGCTCAACTGGAACATATDAGCCGGCTGTGTAGTTAAGTGTCGGGGCCAGATCATCTTTCAGAGTTGGCCTTTGAGCTCATAATACAACCTAAAACAATAAACAGCTAATCCCTTTGTCAGGTAATGAGGACTCTTAAACAAATAACAAATATATCCGAGGTAATCATGCACTTTAACGGGAATGGTTCAACTGAAAGATCAATTGCCGACCTACGATTTCTTGAATAATCAAGAGAGAGAWAAAAAGTGTGTGCAGCTGGAATGTTTTAACGGTTCGTGCTGGTAGTAAACTTGTCGTTTCACACGGAAGGTGCTGAATGAAAAACTGTCAAGTGCATTTTGGCACTGYTTAGAAGTTAGAGTGCACACCTGCGGTTACCCTTGGTGTCATGTACCCGGAATAAAGCATGGAAATGAATTTTAATGTACCTACTAAGAAGCAATCTTAGGGATATGAAAATCTTCGATGAAATCAAGAATGTTCTTGGTAAATGTGCAGATCCAATACGAATGTTCAGTCTTGCAGTAGTGTATACATCGTTTGCCAATACGCAGTTCTCAATTTTTCCAACCTACWGCACAAAAGGCAAACTTCATAGGGAAGTCAGTTTTACTGTGTTTTAAATGACMAGGCAGGCATGCGAATATTTAGTTTTGACGCTGTCTGGTTATCAATTTAGAGGCATATACTTTATCTCATTGTCCAGGAAGGCTATCAGGAGCTTGCCAAGTGAACCATGGAGAGTTAATTGGACCGTTTCCAAAGCAATCGATAAATAAACAAAATGAGAATGTGTTGATGACTTCGGGTCTTAAGTATTGATTAATTATATATATATCACTATATTTAACAAAAACAGAAAATCAATTAAGTTTGATAAATGTAATTGTATTGTACGACAGTTCAAAATGTTCTGTTCAAAACAGCTGCCGTTACTTCAATATGTTATCAACGATAACTACAGCAAAACAAAACAACACAAATTTGGTTTTGTTTGCTTTGTTTGTATTATTAGTGTTGATGCAAAAACATGTACACCAAAATCCATGAGGTACATATTTGCATTTGGTATACCTGCGTGCAGACCTTATTTTTTGTGTTTTGCGTGTACTTGTATTTTTGTGAAATCGTATCTATTAATATTTATGAACTCCAYCTGATTGGACTCTGGTTTATTCATTTTTTCCGTCTTGCTGCAAACACAGACACGCCTTACACACCCCTATATCCAGTTCGATCCACCTAGAAAAGCACAATGCTGAACTTTCGTCATATTCAGCTAWTGAGCAAGTAACATAAAACAGGGACACTCTATGATGAAAGTCAAAGATGGGTTGACACTATTGAGTTAATCTCTGAACTCTTGTCATATTGAACTATTGAGCAAGTTACACAGAACAGCTAAACACTTAAAACTAGAAGATAGGCTCAAGGCAAAGCGGATTATCATACGCTGGGACATGACGGAGAAAATTTGCAATACTGAGTGCTGAAATGCAATAAAGTGCAATAAAATTCAGTCAAAACGTCTACACTTACTAGGAGTGCTTCGGAAAAAAGTACGTATAACAGCCTGTTTATTGGCAAGCAGTCGCTATAAGTAGTCGAAAAATAGGTTCTCGTTCCAACGCTATTATATTTTCTCAGTTCCACTAATAATCTCTATGAAACCGTGATCAGCAATAGAGAACAGGTTTGGGGTAGTTTTTACTTGCTAGCAATCCGAAGAATGGACTTAATTTATTGCTATGTTGCTCAACTTCAAATTAAGCAGCTCTTTTTTAAGCTGATGAAAAATCTAGATTCTACTACATGGGGCTTTCCCGTAATATCTGTGTATTTCAAGTGTTCTTTAGTTTGCACGCATAAGCACTTCAGCGTTGTCATACCGCACGATTATTAGTAATCGTTCTTTGTCTATTAAAACAAAAAACACTCTTTAGATAAGATAAGACTGAGGTCAAGTTAAGAGGACGGCCGTTTATCGCTTTTATCAGTKTTATCCAAACGGGACTTATCTGTTATCAACACCGTAGAAGGAGCTATTTTTATGATGTGGCGAAGGATTCAGTGGTCTTAACAGAAACCCCCAGTCTCCTGAAGACCCCCAAATGCTTATATAAAACAAGAAATGATAGATCTTCAATAAACGTAGCAAAATAGCAGCTTGGAAAAWGCCATAAAATTCATGGACACTACACAGAACTTCCGTGTCCTAGCTACTGCAGGAATTTTGTTACTCATTACAGTTAATAATTCTAAATGTAACTTTTATTGTCATTAGCTCAGTGCAGACACAAGTCTTTTTAAAATGGGACAGTGGATGTGATGATTAATGAATTATGTTTACAGYGATAGCAGACGTTTCTCAGTCATATTTTTGGCCAAATTAAGCCCCGACAGACAACCACTGTAACGGAAAAATCATCATTTGTTCCATAGTTTTTCAATGGAATGACAATTTCTTATTTGATATTCGTAGATACTTGTGTGACTGACAGGCATGTGGAAGGATTGCTTGGAAAAGTGATATTTGTGGACGATTCTGACGCTGACATGCAGACCTCACAGATCAGGAGAAACAAGGAAGGACAGCACTAGGTTAAMGGAAATCTAAACGTTTTACGTTTTATTTAATTTTTACATTAAAACTTAAAAGTTTTTTTTCTTCTACAAAATATTACCTTATAATAAGCACTATAAATAAATCTGATAATATATACAAAAAAACACAAAGTATATACAAAAATTACTTGACACTGTCACACAGTATCTGTTTTTACAAAAAATATTACCTTAAACATTGTATATATAATGATACATGCAATGAACAAAATATATATAAAAAAATATGATTTGATTCTACCGGATGTACAAAAAATAACTAATGTTTTATCTCTAACATTTCATCGCAAATCACGAGTTTGGCCAGAACAAGTTAAAAAGAAATTTAGAAAACAAAGAAGTCTTTATGAACTTAAACTCTTTATGAAATTAATCAGGAATTTTCACTTTAAAATTCCATAAAAACTTAACGATGACCTAATTCAACATGGCCACTAAACATTTCCACGCGATAAATCTTAAAGAGTCTTCTGTTTCCCATCCTTTTTACCACTTTCGTCCGTTTCCTCGTYTTCCTTTGATTTCCTTTTCTCATTTTTCATCTCCTTTTCTTTCTTTTTCATTTCTTTCTCTTTTACCTTCCTGAGTTTTTTGGCYTCTTCCGGTTTATACTCCAGATGCCACCCAGATCTGACTCTAACAGARCCACAGCTTTTTGCTATTGTATCTGGGATCTTGAGGCGGCTCACTTTAATCGATTTCTTTTTTGGCGAATCTGTTTCTTCCTCATCCGGGACCTTGTGTTTTATTTCGTCTTGCAGAGAATAGCTCTTCACGGTTCGTATTAAGTCAAAGCGACGAAGAGCGAAGAACACAACTTCTCCAAACAGCTGAACAACGAGGAAGATTGCGATAATGATCAAAATGGTGTAGAAAGTGTTTAGAACTAAACCACGACTGGCCGAGACAAACGGRTGAATKCCTTTTTTGAATTGTTCTTTGTAGATAATCCTATCAAACTTTGTGAACCTAAAATTGTTATAAATTAAAATTAGAATAGATCATAAACCAAACAYGTTTAACATGCCCRACTTAACATCCCTTGCAAAATACCCTCATCTGGCTGACAAAACAAAGGGAGACAAAACGAAATGTATATTTGTTCAATTTCCTGCYACGTCGAATTTATTGCTCTGTCATCCAGGTGAAAATGCATTCACATAAACTAAGYGTGATGTATTGTAAGCAGCCATACGACAAKAGAGAACAAGAGCGGGCTCAAAAGTTYTCCCRAWTAGTGTCAGCGGTCTCATGCATCGACTTCCGCTGGATGGTAAAAGTTTGGAATCTGGACACAAGACYGTCTGAACCTGACACCATTCTGATCCTAACCTTTGTGGAATAACAGGAGGGACGCGGCATTCCAATTGTGTTAAATTTTTGAGGAATTCTTCCGTGTAACCCTTGACTCCGTCACACTTGCCATCAACCCAAAAGCAGTATTCCTTGTTATGATGATCAGCGGTCGTACACTGAAATCCTTTGAAGATGGCGGCTTTTTTCTTGGCAAACTCAATGCGAGCGTTGACTCTATTGAAATGACGAATATTGTGATATTTTCATTCATAATTTAGTTTGTGTTTCAGCTCAGAAACGATTAATAAGAACTAAACAATTTGTCATTTGTCTCAGTTCTATGCAAAGGCGCAATGCGCAAGGAATTGTGGACTACTTGTTTACCTTTTTTGGTAGTAGGCAAGCTGTATGTGGTTGATAGAGAAAGCCGATGATGTAATGCGGGTGTTCACTATTTTTCGATTGACCAGAATKGGCGAYATTTTGACGTCGAAATAGCCAACGGTGTCCAGCGTGTCAACTGTYAATGCGTACTTAGCTGTGACGATGATGACGTAAATCAGCAAAAKCCCCATCACAAAGAGAAGTACCATTGGGACTAGGTTAGTCTTGGTTAACTAAATGGGTGAAAATGAATTTAAAGTGCAAGTAAGTACAATAAATAACACATTCGAGGTTTCTCTATATAGTGGAAGTAAGAAAAATGGTATTTTACGACATGATTTGCTTTCATATACAATTGTATGGTAAATAGAATATTGCATGCTTACTTGGAGATACGAATTTTATCTTGTCGTGTTGAAAATTTTCAACATTCGAAGATAAAATCCGTATCTCCGCGCGCCCATGTAAAGTATCCTCTATTCAACAGCAGTATTTGGGATACATTTGTAGAACTATACGATTTAAGAAGCGTTTGACTTACCTCATAATTCAGGCGCTTTARAGCACCATACACATAGAAAAGTCCTGTATTTAAGTAGTCCAACACAACCATGCCATAYTTAATYGGCTTACTTGAGGACTTAGGAGTTTCCTTGGCCGATTTTTCTTCAACGTCGGAGCTCTGACATCCTTCATCTTGCGTCGATGCTGCTTCTTTATGTTGACTTTCTTTATTCAGTGCTGGAGCTTCCATTTTATTCAAAGGTTCGATCTTCTCGGCTTCATTGTTAACATCTCCCGRTGATATAGCTTTTTCCTTAAAGGTGACACTTTCATGAGATGAACGATTCGAATCTGYTTCCAAGGATTTCCTTTTATTCTGTTCTTTCTTGATTTCATCCAGATCGTAAACTACAGGAACCCCATGCAAGAGGACAACTGCTTTTTGGTAAGTTCTCCCATGACGAAACACGAACCACATAACGTCTAGGACAAGAAGAATTCCCGCCAAAACACCACTCCTCATGAAAGCGACGACCCAATCCAAGGCAAGGAGTTCTTGCGCACGATCATTTGAAAGAGGACTTGAAATGTTCAGAGAAGGCAAACGAAGTTCTTTTAACTTCAAAGACAAATCTTCTGCTAGTATCCTGACTTTGCTGAAATTATAGTTGGGACTGAAGTTGATTTTTGGCGTTTGAAACTTTGCTAGAAATTCATCGAAAAACGAATCAAATGAACCAAGATTGAAATCGACGGTTGGAAAACTAACATCAAGACCGACCCAACGAATAAAGGGACCGAGTCCACTACCAAATATTTTCGCAAAAGCGTTGATAATTTTATATAAAACCTTCGCAGCTTTGAGCCAGAAATTGTTTTCAACCTTGTTTCTGATGYTTTGAATAATGTAGTTCATCTCATTGGTCATGGCTTTCAGTCGGCGGTTCACCTCTTGCCGAGTCCTGTCGAATTTCGCTTTGGATTCTTTAACTTTTTTCTCTATTTTTTTATAGGCCGCAGAGATGATAGTTTTTACCTTTATTTCTTCAAATAAACGTCTTCTCATTTCAGCGTAATAAGCGTCAATCATTTCGTCGACCTGTCGGAGTTTCTCGTCGCAAAGTTTTTTCCCAGCTTTGAGATGCGCAAGCTGTCGGTTGAGCTCGGCAACTTTGTGCTCGTCCATCTTTTTGATAATTTCTTTTTCGATTTTCTGGCGTTGGTCACGGAATTTCGAGTAGCGTTTCARTGTATTGACATTTTGATGGTGAATTGCAGAAAATATGATGAAAAATACCGTTAGCGTCAGCAAAAAACTCTTAATTAACCTCATCCCAACGAACCAGATAACAAAGAGAATATGGCGAAAATGAAGCTTACTATCTCGGTCTCTTTGCATGTCATCTTTCGGTCTTGTCTTATAACCATAGATCAGAAGGGCTAGTAGCAGCACAAATGCAGATCCAAGAGCGTAGATGGCGGGCATTAGTACACGAAGAAGCCGATCAAAGTCAGGTTTATTGACGATAATGGGAAGATCAAAATTTGGYTTGTATCTTGGGCTTACTAAAATAATCTCGACCGTCTTGTAAGAGTCAGTCATTTTGGTGAGAAATTGTTTATCAATTATGCTCGTGTCTCCACCTGAAGGTAGATGAAACTCGATTTCAAAGGTACAGCTTATATTTGTAACGGCTGAAAGAAAGATCAAAGACAAATAGCGATTAAAACTAGAAATTGCATTATAGTAAAGGATATATAATTGTTTAAATTTGTATTAGAAAGCAAAGAACTAAGTACTAATTTGCGCAAAGTTGCTTAGAAAATCAGGTTATTCGCTTACCAATGTCAAAATTGTAAACCTCAACACCAGGCATATCTTGATCGTACATTTTCACATTAAATGCACCAGGACACTCGTTTAAACGACCAGAATACTTTAGCGTCCAGAATGTTCGGTTTCGAAGAAGAACACCGACCAAGCTCTCGTCATTGACGATAGCTGTCTTTGGAAACATGTTCCGCATCACCGAAAGATTCCGAGACAAAACGAAGTTAATCCGATGACTGTCTTTATTGTCGAAAACCTTGTAAATGTCCTCGTTATCCTGTCGGTCTAACGTCGCCGTCAGATTTTCAATTTGACGGAAATTTTGGTGGATTGGTCTGTCTTGGACGACAGCAAAACCGCTGGCCTTGTCTACATCAGCATTGCAGTCGCTCTGATCCCACGTTTTCGAGTTCATACTGAAAGGAACTCTGGGCTGAACATGAATTTCATTTCTTGCTGTACCCGTTGCTATGGAATTACTGACGTCATCTTCATGATGATATATACCGACTTTAAATTTATTTTTATTTGTATTGCCGCTGACCAGAACTGTTTTATCCGTCAWGCTTTGCAAGACTGTTGGATGAGATACAGACATAAATCCAAATTCGTGYTTCGTACGTCCACTGTTTTCTTTAGTAAGATTATGGTCTACGCTGCTGACAGAATACACACGCCTACCAAATCTCCATAAAGACGTTTCTATGACAACTTCGGGACCACGTGACATTTCCACGTGACATTTGAAATTTCCACTGGAMGGAAACTCTGGCTYGAGAAGAAGCTGGTACTGGTTGACTCTTACGCATGACAATTGACTACGGACGCAATCATTTTTGTACGTCGTGCATGCGCAGCTTGCGCAAGTACAGCCTGAAAAACAACAGTCGAAACAGTACGAGAAGTGTTCGCCGTATTCATGCTTATTCTTGCTTTTGACATCGTCCTCAGTAACGTTACAATTGGGATATTTTTGAATATTGTTAGAGCACGAATYTCGGCATTTTGAGCAGGCATTTTTTGTGTCGAAGCAACKTCTATCCTTCTCGGTTTTCCAGAAGATGTTGCTGGAATTTCTGCTACCAAATAAACTGACCAGTGTGTTGTTGACGCCGGAGCAGTAAAGACCCTTTCCTGTTGGCTTTATGGTTCCTGAAGTTGTGTAATTCGGACAAAGTTTACTTAGGTCGTTCTTTAAAACATCCAACTCTTGGAATTCATTCAGGTTGATCTTGTAAAAGTCTGGAATGGGCGACTTGCAAAACTTCCCTTTAAGTATATTCATTTGCTTGTTGGAAGGGAATTTTTCATTGTCATTGTTACGATGAGTTACTTGGCGAAATTTGGTGCTGAAGTCAGCGCGTTTAATAACTGCTCTTAATGCTATACCACTTGAACGGTTAAGCCAGACAGTGTACTGAGCGGAAAGATCGGTGATGAGCTTGCTTGCTGTGACATCGCTGTCGACCTGCGTATATAAAGAATTTTAATAATTAATAAGAGATAATTAGCATATTAGCAAGCATATGGACGTTTTTACCCTTCAAAAAACCCTTCCTAGTCACAAATTCCAGATAAAAGCGCTCTACAAGTGGCATTACGCGTTGAAATTTAACCCAGAGTCTAAAACTAAGCCCATTGAAACAGGATTATAAGCGGTATAACATGTTCCATACCTTGGATAAATCTTCATAAATCATATGTGGAGACACCTTAATCTCTGGCAGTTGTGAAATATCTATAAAGACGGAATACAGAAAATTATGCAGACGTCGAATACATACATATTACACATTACACATCAAGGTAGCATTTTCTACAGAAATGGTCACATGACGTCACGGTATATTTGGCGAGGTGCACTATGAGATTGAGGAAAGCACAAACTGAAGAAAACTTATGCCATGTTGTTGTGTCAGGCTGTTTTAAAAACAAACATTACATGCGTTTATGAATTTCTTAGGTTTTTGAGTATACAACTAGCGTGCTTCTGCCAGTTTATTCAAATTATCTTGTTCTATTGCAATTTTCGTCTATGGACAACGTTCATCTCGAAAAGGAACTTCGTTCATCGKACTTGCTATAGTGCAGCCGCCATTTTGATATTTTTATCAATACCATWATGCACTTCGCCAAAGAAATATGACGTCATTAGTGACGAGAATCATTAATSMAATGATTACCTACCMGTACAGTTTCTGTCAGTTTGTCCGGCACAGGCTGTTGATTCGAATTCATTGAAACTACAAGGCGGTCTACACTCTAACAAAAAGAGAGCTTTATTATTCAGAATACAATACTTGCCATTCTAAGCTAAGACTTTTTTCGCCAGCACACACAGAGATATCAAAATGTAGTGAATGTATTAACATACTTTTGCACATTGCTTCGTGAGTTGCATTACACGATGACACCTCGAATGATYCCTTGGGGCAGCTGTGTGAGCATTCTGGTAAAACATGCACCAAGAATTAGAAGAAAAAGAGCTATTTGCCTATCCATACACWATTTACTATAAATAAACCAATCTACTAACACTTCAGCCAGCTAGCCATCCAATCGATCAATCAACTAACCAACCATGAACTAACCAYTTACCCAACCAACCGAGTCTACCAACAAACCAACCAACTAAACAATCAGCCAACAAACCGAGTCGATCAACAAACCAACCGCAAACCAAACAACCAACCAATCAACCGACCACCAAAAAAAACCCAAAAAACAACAAAACAACCAACCAACAAACGAACCAATAACAAATCAAACCACTAGACAACTCACCAACCTACCAAACAACCAAAACACACATCAAACAAACAACATATCCATCCACCTACCGACCGACCAACTGGCATGCAAACAGCCATTAAAACTACCAATTAAGTCCTAGTACTTACTGAATATACATACAGTCYCCCRTTGGTTGTCTTCTACAGGTTTTTTATCACGTGGACAAACACATTCTCCTGTCAAGGGATCACAGATTCCTCTAACACAAGTCTTGTTGGATTGAAGACATTTGTCTTCTTGTACAGTATATGCGCTCTCTACGTCTATAGAGAAATAATGCATGCTTTTAGTCCAATCAAAAGTGATTATAGRACAATCGTCCAATGCACCAGCGAGGTCGGAAATTAATAGTTGAGTCTCGTGATCTCTTTTACGCAGTGTTAGCCTCAATTGTGTCCAAAATTTCATTTAATTTTTTCATTTCTATTTCCATTGTCTTCTATACTCACGGATCTCTTGCATTTGCACGGGTTRTTATTGAATGAAAGAATTTATTACAAGTTTTTGAGGGTAACACAGCGTAAAAGAGATCGCTAAAAGGGTTTATTATTCCGAATTTATTTCCAAGGGTCTTTCTCCTAGCCTGCGTGCAGCCGAACCAAAACTTGTTGTTTTTTTTTGTTGTTGTTTTTTTTTTGTTGTTTTTTTTTGTTGTTGTTTTTTTTTGTTGTTTTGTTGTTTTGGTTCGGCTGCACGCAGGCTACTTTCTCCCGGAAAAACCTCCTTCTAAGCACTATTCATTTCCTTTATTTCTATATCATGTTTATCATAGTGCCATGCGTTCCTCATATTCAACTCACCATATACATGTACGGACCCATTAGTAAAATTTGTAGCGTCAACGACATTTCCATTGTCTTCATTGATGAAAATTCTGACATCTGGAGCCAGAAATCCATGTGGGACTTCTACCACGATGTCCACATTGGTTCCCGATTGCGCATGCACAATACATACTGTTGCCACGACGAGCATGATGGTCACGTGCAAGGATGGATTGGAACCAGATTGGAACATTTTACGTTTTTGTGAAAATGTGGTGGGTATTTCTGGGTATGAAAAAAGTTGATTTGTTTTAGAGCATGTGCATAACAATGCAGTATGAATTACAACCGAGCTACTTGCAATGTTTGATATGAAATAACTTTTCATTGGATAAAACGGAGCTCTTACTTAAGCTTTTCTTCTTGCTCGATGAAGTGTCGTCCTCCTTAGAGTCATCTGTTTCGTCACGTGATCGCTTTGCGCGTTTCTTCCACCAGCAACAGTACATTGTCACAGTAAATATAATACACAATAGGACAAAACCGCTGACCGTCGTTGAGATTATCAGCACGAGTTGGTCTTTCGGAGGATTCACTTCGACAGATTCTGGTTTAAACTGAAATATTTTACAAAGTGTTATTTTAAATATTTGACAGCACAAAATTCGAAAATCACTGATTTTTAGATGTTTAAACGCCTAATATATTAATATCAATCTGTAMGAAAAGACTRCTCGATGACAAGTGATACTAATTTTTAAAAAAACTTACCACTTGAAGTACTAGTGATTGATTGTCTTTGTCCAGCTTGTAGTTWGTTTGTATTTCACTTGAATTGAAATCGTCAGGAACACTAACATTAAGCTTTATTGTAAACTCGGCTACAGTTTCCACAAACATAATCTTTCCCTATTGAAACATAACASAGAAGTTCACAGAAAAGTAAGTGAGAGTGAGCGAGTGATATGTGAATTCATAACTTACTGACCGGTAGGTTGTGACGGATGGTTAGTGTCCTGGGCTCTAGCGATCCCATGGTTCTTTGCATGTTGGGTAAACCACTGAAAACACGTGATTCGGTCGTTTCTGCGTTTGCGTTTGATAGCAATACAAAACTGAGTACACAATATGTTTTCATCTTCATAAAATGCCCTCTCATAAAGATGGATGGGTTTGAGGACATGATCAATTAAACTCCTGATAAAAGACAGAAATAAAGAAATAAATGCAATTAGTCAAAACTGGATCAGAATTAATAAATTATAATCAGTGAAACAATTAGCATAAATGAAAAAATACGAAACTAAGTCAGCTCGAAATATATACAAAAACATGCGAAATGATAGAGATGAGGATGCGTACAAGTAAAAACTGGGCGAAACGGAAYTGATGATATTTAAAATTYAACGAAATGACAAAAGATAAATAAACCTGCTTTTACCTTATAAGCGTAAGACCTGTTTTAATTAAAATATATTGAAATAAGTCGAATCTCAAAACTCAAAAGTACGATATTATATAGTTTTAAAATATGTAAACAAGATGATACGTACCTGAAGTCACTCGTAAATCCCACTGTACCTCCTAGACCACATTGAAGAGGTGAATATACATCGATATATGTCTACATAACTTTTTATGAACTTGTKGATGAGTGCCGATGACGTCACGTCCGCACCCTCGCGTGACTTGAACAACATCGATCACACAAGTTKATACAATTTATAAATAGTTTTGATTTCCTCATTTGGTCTTTTTATCATATCACATGTCTGTATAATAACAATCTGATATCATGGGCATGTCTACCGTGTAGGGAGTAATGTTAGAAGTATATTTCTCCTTGTAGAATATTTCGTGTTAACATTATTAAAATKAACTRCTATACAYCCTTTTAATAAGTCCCGAGGTATCGAGTTCTCCGCAATTGACGTCAAATTTATTCTTTTGAAATTTTTACAATACAAAAGGAATTCAAAAGAATAAATTTGACGTCMAGTGCGGAGAWCACAATACCTCGGGACTTATTAAAAGGGTGTATATGATATTAAGAGTGATGTAKTAAGTGTGCAACTGAAGCGGAATAAGATAGCAATATTTATAACACGGATGATTTATTGCATRTTAGGCTTTACACTTGGTTCCTTTTCCTCATAGAATGATAATTATAGCATTTGTATTTAACCGTTGCGCTATAAAATGAAAGACTGTCGTCATTATATTTTTCCTGCTCTAATTGTTATTAAAACTAATTAGCTTTACTCGCTACATAGTGTGGTATAATGTCAATGTCTACATAAACATATTTCCTTATAACGCTATGAAGTCACATCAAAACATTCAATTGGCCCACCGCTAAGGTCACCAGAGGGGGGACAGGAAGTTGTCAAGAAAAAATGTCAGTAACCACTTCTGGTTCTCAAAACGTTTAGTATACAAACAGTACAATTTTATAGTTTATATTTATTTGATTTTGTACAGAAATTTCAAAACTGATAAGAAAGTGATGAAGTCGCAGAATTCGCAGATACTAGTGATATAATCGCGGATACAATCTAAACAGGATATCCATTATTAACAACTTCGTCTTCAGCTCTTGCTGAAGGCTTTGGCCTATGTCGAATAACATCTTCAAAAAGGTTAAGTCCCCGTAATATAATTGAATTCTTTGGATAGTTATATTACTTTATCACTATCATGGGATATTCAAAGAGCAAATGAGTTCTAAAATAACTTAAAACAGACGTCGGCAAGATGCACCATGGCACCATGGGGTTGCCCTGCAGTGAAAGCTCGGCCATGTTGTTGATTTTCAATCGTGTTTTCGGCTGTTTCATGATTTTTTTCGTTCATTTTCCAGTTAGTTTTTTTTAACATACTCTAGTGTGTTAGAATCTCAGTGAATACTCTTTCTGCGCATTTTCGACGACCAATCACAAAGAAACTTCCACCTCCATCGTTTTTGAAAGCTATCCGCCTTCTAAATATTCATATCAATACCATGATGCACTTCGCCAAAACACATGACGTCATTAGGCTAGTCGAACATTGCAAAGAAAAATTACGAAAAAAGGATACGTTCTTTAGAGCTTGCTTTGATATCAAAGTAATTCAAGTCGAGATTCTCCGCTAAACGTTTTGCTAAAGTGCGTAATCTCTGTGAATGAAACGTTGGAAATGTTATGTAAATAATGACAATGAGAAATTTTAAAGACGTAGAAGAGCAGCAGAAACATTCTGGTAGCGTTGTCTGCTATTTCGGTRCAGTAATGTGACTTTACCTTGTCATTTTTAGAATATGACGTCACTTTCTGTTCAGTCACGTGATAGCCATTGAATACAACGTAGTAATACTTATGTCCAGCACCTGAACGTAGAAATTAAGAAATAATTTAGTGTACAAAGAAAGGCATGTCCACCCCAAACACAAGCATTCAATACAACGTACTACCCATGCCACCAACTCCAACCAACAAGTCCAGCAAATATCCAGCCAGCCAACCCACCAACCCATCAACCCACCAACCCAYCGAACGGTTAGTCATTTCAAGCCCGTAGACTGCCTACGAATGGGGGAGAGGGGGCAGGGGTCGTTTTTTTATAATGCGGACCTAAAATAAATGTTTATTAAGTTAGCCTAGAGTACAAACACTAAAACTGTGCAACATAAATACCACTAAATACTGCCAAATTATGCTAATTCTACTATTTTGTAGTAAATGATTAAACAAATTTAATGTTTGTACTCTAATAACAAAAGAATATTAGAATAAAACAATAAAAAAGAGAATTCCAACACCCTTTTTCCCCAAGCCTACGACCGACGTAGGATTGTCGTAGACCCCAGAACCCAACACAGCCATCCCAAACAACCCCTCCCTGAAGAAAATCCAGGATATGCCTCAGCTCTAACTGACTCTCTCATATATGTGTATGCTCGTGTATGCTCATTCATACCGTGCTTCTGTGCCTTCAGTCTGATGTAAACGTTGCGTATTTCGCCCTCTTGTACATGTTTTCCTCCCAGAGTCACAGTATACGAGCCAGACAAGCTGTCCAGCGTACAGATCCGATCGGCTTTGTTTTCAAAGGCAAACCATGCAGAAATACAGCCGATAAGAATTGGAAACATCAAGTATTGCTAGAAAACAAACGTCGAACGAGTATTAACATGAATGGAGCTCGTGAATACATCCTAGACTGAGACCAAACGCCAAGGAATCTTGGAAAAATTAAAGCCTCGCGTAAAATAGGATCCGCGAAAATTATACACGCAAAATTTAATGCACTTCTATAATTCACTTCTTTATATGAAAATCTTCATTGTAAATCTATTATTGTTTAAGAAATCATTCAGTGAAAAATGATTTTTAAGTCTCTCTGTCCGCCTGTTTTTCAATTTTCGCGAAATTAAATGCACTAAATTAATCCTTTTTTCAAAATCGCGAAAAATTAATGCTCGCGATATATTTGTGCTCCAAATTCGCGAAATTAAGTGCTCGCGAAAATTMGTACGAATAAGGTATTTAAAAATACCGAGTGAAAATCTGGACGGTGTGAGACAAACCATACACTCACCCCAGCCTCGCTTACAATCAGCCACACTGTGACAATCAAAGCACAAACGACAGACATAAATATACCATAATAACAGCGGCGTCTGTCAAGATGGAGAACGAATTCTGAAAACCACAAAAGAAATTGAATGAGCAACATGAGTGAATAAGTCATAAATTGATGAACTCAAGACTTACTTCCATCGTGGTCTTTGTTAAACGGATAGCAAGGATTTTTTATTAGTCTTCTGTTGAATATTGATTCAGGTTTCTCAAGAATTTCAAGATTTTTGATGGCCTTCCAGAGCACCATCTTAGCGAACGACTACATATCTAATTAACTAATTAGGAAATGTATTGTGACGTAAGCACAATGTCAAATATAATTCTGCGCGCAGCTCCAAGAATCCTTTGCGCACCACTCCTCCCAGAATGCATTGTGCGCGATAAGTTCCATGGATGCTTTGCTCGCTGTTCCTACCAGATATTTTAYGCGAGAAGGAACTTTGTCACAGATGAAAGCTTTGTGCGCGCAATTCCCAAAACATTCTTCGCAAATTATTTATGCGCTATTTCTACCACATTTTATTATTTTTTCGCATTTTCAAGTATTTGTAGAACTTGAATTTCAATACAATCACCAGAACTGATTATACAATTGTCACTTTCAATTTATTTTACACCTTTTACAAACAGTTGTTTCATGTGTTCTGCCACATTATTTCAGTGGAATTATGAGAGCTCTTGAACCAAAGAGCTTGCTTTCGACGGCATGTTTCACCCATTAGTACAGTTGAGAACTTTCTTAGTTGTAAAACTTGTATAGTTATRATACGACGACCCAACGACGTACTCACCAAAAGCTCTTTTCATAATTATAAGTTTTTCTGTGATTCATCTGTTGTTCCTATAAGAGAACAAGATAATATCTTGATACAATTGTCAAATGAGTTTCCAGTGCATCAAAGGTTGCGAGCGAGGACTATCAGTTCATAAGACGTTCTCGCTATCGGGGACAAACCAACGATCTATATGAGATTTTTAAAAAGCACAGCCGGGATTTTCACTGAAATTTAAACACACTTTTTTACCTTTTAGTGAACTTTTTCGTTTCTCTAAGATCTCTTCATACTGTTGTGTAGTCAAAAGCTTGTCAAAATATAGYGAGACCTCTTGCAGCTTTGGAAGAATTACAGCAACATAGCCCTCTGTTTCGGGCTAGGGTAAAGCAAAAAAAAACAGAGACAGAATTAAAATGAAAGACAGGAAAAAAGGTTTCAGAAGAAGAAACAGTAAACAAGGATAAGATGAAGAAAGTGAAGTGAACAAGATGAAGATATAACTAAAGGAGGAGAAATCTAGAGTTAGCTGGAGAAGAAGGCAAAAATGAAAGAAAAAAATACACAACCACTTAGTTGTTCCCTGGGGCCTTAGTCTAATGCCTCTTGAATAGAGAATGAAAAAATAACAAGGGTACAGAAAGGGAGAAGGAATGGAAAGATAAAGTGACAGAACGCAAGGATGAGAAAATTGACGGAGGAAGGGTTAAGTTAGGAAGAAAAGTGAAGACTTTTTTTACCTTTTCGTTCAGTAGTTCTGGTTTTGATATCAATTCGTCATTTATTTCAATAAGCTTTCCTTTCATACAGCTTGAAATAATCGAAACAACAAAATGAATTATTTCACGACTTGCACAGTAGTTTTCATTTTTGCGTATCCTGTTTGATATGTTTCATCAAGAATGACCAACCTCAGGAATTGGAGGAGGATGAATGAGAAGGGACCAAGATATTATTATTGTTTTTATTTTCTCAAAGTAATCTAGACATGCCTTTTTGTGAAACTTTCATCTAACACAGAAGAAGATTATTTCAAGATGACTCTTTTTGCAGTAATACAGTATCAATCAAAACCTGCTTTTGATTGCTGCTTAAGTACAGCAGCTCTATTGTTAGGTTAAATTGCTTTATTTTTAGAAGACTTATCTATTGTTTGTCCATTGTCCATTGTTTTCTCAACCTATCACAAGACCTGTTCCAATCGGTCGATCAACTGGCCCYCTTTTTGTTCTCAGAATGCACTAGATTGTTTTATAAATAACTTTATCTTACCAATTCAAAATATATTTTTTGCCATCTGAACAAGTAACTTCACAAAGYGGTGCATCAGGCATGATCCACTGTGCTCCTTTTTTGGATTTTCCAACCGCTTTGCTGTCAAGYCGGTTWAGTTTAGAGCTGACTTGAAAGTTTATGTCAGATACTTTAGACCCCTGCTTGACGATAGGATGCTCTGGGGCTATTGTTATCACACATAATCTAAGTACAAACAAAATTAGTGTCTTGATTCAGTGTTTTCAATAATTGGTAAGTCTCAGTAGCATTTAGAGGTGGTTCGCACTACAATATAAGAAAAAGTGGAAGATGAGAAAAGAAAAAAAGACAATTAAATGAATGAAATTAGATGGCTGGCCAATAATTAAAACTTACAGATTTTGCTGTGAACCGCCATTTTACAAATTGAACATGTTATTTGACAAGTGGCATGACTACTCATAAAATGGTCAGGATGGGTTTGGAAGGGAAGGTCAATGCACCCTGGGTGGAAAGGTGGGACAGGGGGTTGGGAGACTTTGCAAAGTACCACAGAGGGTACAAATGACATTGCTCATAAAAAAAAGGCAAGGCTGGTATTGTAATAAATTCTTATCATAATATTGCTAAGCTTACACTTAAGCTTATAGGTTAAKCTTTGCTTACTTGTTTGAATGAAGTAAAACGCACTGGTCTTCGCCAGAGTTGCCATTATTATCTAAAAACAGACCAATGGMAGTCAATTCTCTATCTTCCTAATACATATAAGATTCTAAATTCTAGCTGAAATATCTACTCAGTTTATATACAAGAGATAACGTACCCACAACGTAGCCACGTGTGAAATATCTGTCGATGAAACTCTGTCTTTCACTGTCGCAGGCCATCTTCAGTTTATCAATATAATACTCCAAAAATCAAACAATTTACCTATAATGGTTGTYTCAGAAACACAAACATACCATATTAGCTCAMACTTATACGTCTAAGCYCTTTTTCGCATACTTATTGCTGAAAATGWTGCAGAATTCTCGACCAAACACAACCAACGTGACTTATTAGAAAAGCTGTAGTTGGGGCTCCTGTGGGATGATGAGGCCTGGTTGTTCAATGCACAATGGACAGAATGGATGGWAGATTTGTGAGAAGTAGGTCTTCAAATATCTTAGATAGACCGCTTAGCAAAGGMAAGAATGAGGTAAAAACCATTTAGAATTGTAGTTGAATAAGTTATTTAGATAACGGTACTTTGGGATATGTATTTTTCAGATAAATATCAGCACATTCGCTCTRTTGTTCTCTGAGATGGTACAATATTGTCAGAATCGAGTTTACACAGTTCCTGAACTTCAGACCAAGTAAGCTTACTTTAACTTTCCTAAGCTTTCATAATATTGACTTTATTTATCCTTCATATTAGTCTTGAAATGATTTTTAATGTGAAATATTTATGTATATCATTGTGTTCTCAGAAATTGAATTAAGCTTACAAAATAACTTAATGTCCTTTCTGTAGACTTTCAGATCTTGGTCAGCATGTCGGTGCTAGAGTTCTCGATGTTCTTGTATCAAGAGAAAAGGGTCTCAAACGAGAAGTGAGAGTGTTGAATATSTTGCTTTTTATCAAGTCTGTTTTATGGAAGGTATGTCAAGTTTGAAGTTCCTTGTTGGGCTTCCTGTTTCTCCCATGATATACCTTTTATCTGTGCTTTTGGTCCTTGTTTATTGTGTTCCAATAAAGTCAATTTACTTGTAGTCATTATTTGGTAAAGAAGCAGACAAGCTGGAGCAAGCAAATGATGACGACAAGACTTGTATCCTTGAATTAATAAAAAAATCTTTGCATTAAAATTTGACCAAAAATGGAGTCACTATGCTGTAACTAGTAAAGGGTTAAATTTAACTTTCTAGCGTTAAATGATAACTTTTCACTGTATAATTTTGGTAATATTTCAACAACTTATTATATGTACTGTACAGCATAAAGCTATTGAAAGTGTTCCTTAATTAAACCAGATTATATCATAGAACGAGAGCCACTAGTTAATAAATTCATATCTGTTCCAAAGGACAAAGGTATTATTAGTGATTTGTTGGCAGATGTCTCAAAGATATATCATAACAATCCTAATCAAATAATATCAATTTTGTTGTACAGGAAGTCTAAATTGTGCATCTTTCATTGCTGGGATAGTAGAGGCTGTTCTACATGGCTGTAACTTTGTAAGTTAAGTTTTTGTTAGCATAAAACTATACTAACCACCTCTGCGGACATCTCRCTTAATCRGTTTTTATGTGTTTTGGGTAACCTGTGGAAAAACAGGAAAGAGAGGGGACTGCTACTAGTCCTGCGCTCTCACAAATCTAGCACAGGAAGCCCATTCTTCTTTGACAAAGAGAAACCTGTWARGTTGGCTAAAACAGTGTATTTGTAGTTCTAATTATTGAAGAAAACCACTGTTTATGTTTTATATTCACATGCAAGATAAAGATCCCACTGTCCCAAATTTTTCTGTGAATCTTAGAAGTTTTCAGGTTTGATACAGATTCCTGGAATACTGGTTTATTAGTAATACAAACATTTTGTTTTTGCAGCCTGCTAAAGTCACCGCTCACTGGCATAAAGGCACAACACTAATGATCAAATTTGATGAATCTGTAATTGCAAGAGAGAAATCACTGGATACTAGATAGATTTACYGTAAATTCAGTGTTTATTTCAAAATGAGTCCTATTAGAGGAGCTTTTACAGTATGTCAGTATTTAAAAAAGACACTTTGAGATTTTGTAAATATATGGTTTAGGTCCGGACATCTATTAATCATTTTGAGTGCTATGCCCGTTTCAGACGTCAATCTTTTGCAATGTCTAGTCTAATGTCTAATTGCTTACATGCAGTTCTTGAGACGTTTGCAGTCTACATCGATTGATAATTACGGATTATAATAAGTTTGTCTCACTGAACAAAATCTGCTAATTCAGAGTACAAATTGCTCATAAACTCAACTCCAAGTAGATTAGACTCAACAAAAAATCGACGAAACGGGTTTTTGAACAGAGCCAAACATTTTGACACCTACAACATTTTGGCTTCAAAACTCTGCCAGTAATGTCATCCTAAATGGATACAGAACAAGTTTGTAACAACATTAGTATTTGGGTCAAAGTTGAGCTATTTGAATCTATTGATATTACAATCCTGTTTTGTAGCTCCTTACATCATAACTGTGTATCAAACATTCAAAGTCACAAAAGATAACAAAGTCCAAATGTAATATCTTTTAATTCCTTTTAAAATTTCAAGTCGATTTCATATAAGTAGAAAGCAAAACAAGTCAATAATTATGTATATGTTTTATGTAATATTTTCAAAATATTTTGACAATGATAAAGATGAAAAAGRAACAAAATACATGAAGAATGATCTTTGGTATTTTGAAATTTCAGGGATTYCACATGATTTAGAGTCATCATGATTCCCACTCCTATGAAATCTGCTATTTTTTATTAAAGAACTTACAACTATTGTACATTCTGAAATACCAGTAAAAGTCACCATAAAACCATATTGAATGGAATTAGCTAATGGTCCATCCTGTTATAAACTATAGTACATGAAATATAATTTTAACATTCAAACAATATATTTTACAATTCAAACGTTAAGAATTTCTAATATAATATCTCTGTAAATTTGCTGATGAAAATTAATTACTCATCGAATTCCTTGTCTAATGATGGTRCTAGACTTCAAGGTCGTTGGTTTTACTTTCTTCTTGTGAGGGTCAGTTGCAAAGCACTTCCATAGTCGCAGGGTTTCGTCAGCTGCAGCGGAGATCACYGTTTGTCCATCWGGACTCATTGCCATGTGGAGAACACGGCAAGAATGACCTGTTAGCTCTGTAACTTTAGACATACTTGGGTACTTCCAAATGATCAATTGGTTATGAGCATACCCATGGCTRGATATCAACTCCTTGTACTCTTTGGACCACAGGATTGAACAAACCTATAGAGGAACAGATACTCCAGAAATTAGGATTCTATATATTGTTGCCAAACTGATTTTCATTTTTTTTATGAGAACTTTAAGCTCTATCACTCTCTCAGTGGCCATGCTAAATGTAGTTTTAGTGTGAACAAGTCCTTTACCTGTGATTTGGTGTCAACACTGTTTAGACAAACACCAGTGGAGGCRTTCCAGAATTTTATACACCTATCAGCAGTACCACCACCACTMGCCAACACATTGCGCTGGAATGGACACCAATCTAATGCCTGGAAAATAAATTTGTCATGTTACCTTTACTTTTACCAGTAATTTTTAAAGAAACTTTACTAGTAAGGTTAGGATCCTTTACCAGTAAGATCCTGTGAAGTGCTTTCTATGAAATTTTATTCAATCTGTACCTTGACCGCAGCCTGATGACKTGACAGAGAAAATAACGGAGTCTCRTTGACTTGTGATGAGGTAATGTTTGAATCCCAGATGTTAAGGATGTTGTCATTTCCACCACTGGCCAGTAGTTTCCCATCTGGCGACCACTTTAGACCGCAAACCTCTTGTGTGTGTCTTCGGAGAGTTGCCACGTGGTGTTCAGCAGCTCGTACRTCATGGTGATGAATAGCACCACTTCTACTTCCACTGAAAACAAAAAATTGACATTACACTTGTCAAAGTGATGTACATCTTCCAAGCATTAATTGCCTCAAGCCATTACTACTTTATCATAAGTAACAGTGTAAAACTGGTACAAACAGTGTCAAAATGGAAATCTTGTTGTAATGTGTGGGTTTCTAAAATCTGATCTAGTGTAACAATTTATGAGAAAATAGCATTTTGTATATCAATTGTATAAAGGCTCCTTTATTATTTTGAAAGAGGTACCTTGAAACGATGTAGGAATTCCAAGACAGGGCTCCAGTCCTTGATGAATGGCCAGTCATGTTACGAACTCGCTTTTGCTTTTCAACATCCCATAACTATGGATAAAAACAATTGATGATAACTTTAAAAATATAAAGAAATATTATAACATACATCATTTTGATGCAAGGTATATGGTGTAGCTGAGTATGCACTTGTGATATATTAAAATTAAGGTTTTTTTCTCACCTGAACTGCTCCTTCACTTGTCCCAACTGCAAGAAAGTTGCCCTCCTTTATCCATGACACAGAGCTGACATACACATCCGTAGAATCCATCTGACAGAGTTGTACAATGTCTCCAGAACCTGCATTCCAAAGATATACAAATCCTCCCAAGGCCACTGCCAAATGGTTGTTGCAGCTCCAGTCTAATAGATTCAAATCTGAAGGAAAGATAAGTTTAAATTCTGTTATGTATATTCTTGGTAGAAATATGAAGTTAGTGCAGAGATTCCACTATAGTAAATCTAATAAAGCTTGCTTACAATAATCGTCTAGAAGGTCGGGAGCATCCAGGATTCTGTCTGGGACTTGAGAAATGTGTCTCGCATTCTTCTTCTTCGCAGTGGAAGTTGTTTTGGACTGGCTGTACAGAACACGCAGATCATTCATATAACCTGAAATATAAAATAGATTACTAAATTCACTGATTTCCCAAAACTTGAAGCTTTTTTGGGAAAAAAACAAGGCAGACATTTGAAGAGTCACCGATTTCAAATGATTCTTTCAAGTCGGCGTCGTTTTGGTTTCGGTAAAAGCGAAGCGCCTTTACAACATTTTAGCATAATTTTGAATCACAAATACCTTGAAATTCAAAGAATCTTATTACTAACCTTCTCTTGGAGTCGGTGCTTTAGTTTTGTAGGCAAGAATTCGTGCGTTAGCATCGCTACCGTTCAAACTCTCCGCCATGTTCTTCTGGTACTCTTTCTTCGACGGGCTGTCGTTTTCTTGTTCTTCGTTTTCAGTTGAAATCATCTTATAATAGTTTGTATCAAAGTTCATACTGCTTCGGCAAGGTATAAAACGATCTTCTGACGGAGTCTTTGGAGTTTTTGAAGTTCGTGGCGTCTTTGACTTCGGTGTTTTCGAAGGTGTTTTGGAGCTTGTGTTCAAATTCCGAGAAGAACGTAGTGGCGAGGTGTTTCGCTCTAATGCCGACTTTCTTTGCCATCTAGGAGTTGGGCCTTTTCTCAACGGAGCATCAAGGCACAGGAGATCATCTAGCTCCGATTGAAATTTAAATTGAGACATATTTTTCGAAGAAACTTCAGCTGATTTTTAGTGAGTTTGCACGTTTGCTTTCATTCAGCATTCGAAAGACGCGCTACAACAGCTGTGCTTTGTCTAACGCGACTTCTGATTGGCTACACATAWATCACGCGCCCTGATTGGTTACTGCTTCGCAACGACAAAATATYCAAATGGCAACGACTAATTCCAATAAAACTGTGCATTTTTATTCATTCTTTAGATATATTTTCAACTATTTCTCACTTTTTTTGCTTTTATTTCGATCTTCTCGATGAGAATCATCAAAACCGACTTATTATTTTCGGGCTCACTGTGTAACTCGATATATACACAGGGATCCCAATTAGACCTACCACTGTCTTTGTGTTAGCCTGCTTACAGGCGTTCCTGCTGGGGGGCCGAGAAGGAATGGGGAGGAGAGGCTCCTCTCCTCCCCATTCTCTCTCGGCCCCCCAGCAGGAACGCCTGTAAGCAGGCTATCTTTGTGTTAAAATGGGGAACTTACAAGTTTATGTAACATACTCCAGTTTATCTTTGCTGTTTGCCTTTCAGCTGCACTTGGCTGCATGTTCAGAATTCTATGGACTTGTGGCTCGTGATATCCAAGGGAAAGATGTTTCTATGGATGACTTTCGAGGGAAAGTAAGTCGTTGCTGAAGCATTAATGAACCAGCGCACGTAGTGCCGGCATTTGAAAACTTTTCAAAATTAAATTTGAATTAAAATTACTATAAGAAAGCTGATAAGTAGCAAAAAGACGAATTAACTTTAGTTTTACTTAATGATTGTTTCAAAGACGAAATTTACTTGTCTATACCAAAGTATTTTTACTTTGGGCTAGAAGTGTTTCGAGAAATTGCCACGTCGCTGTCAACTATGGAATGCGATTGACGAAGGTTAGATCTTTTATCAATTTCAAATATCGCTTGCCTGAGAATTAATTTATATGACCGCAATAAGACAATGAATTGTCTCCACCTTATTTTAATAAATAATTTTATTTAAACCAGTTCAGTCTTTTATACTTTGCCATAACAACCAGCTGGAAAACTGGTAAGATTGCGTTACATGTGTCACACATTCGCTCTGATTCTTAACTTTTGCTTTGGGTCTGTGCAAGAATAGACCTTAGCTTTTACGTCATTACCGTATACGCAATGAATTGTAGGACATGTTTGGTACAGAACATTAACATGGCGGATTTTTTTCGTTTTCTCCAGAAACTGATCCCACAATGCATTGAAAAGTCAAGAGGTGACGTAAAAGGTTCAGAAGTCTATTTTTATTTTTTAGACTCTAAACAAGMACTCGAAATTCATTTGGAAAAATGGCAAAGATGCTAGGGAGAATTTTGCCTTGCAAGGAATCCCTCATCAATCTAATGGTTGCCCCCTAACGGAATTTTTTTTCCAACTTATCCCACTCAACCCCCAACCCCAATCGCTATTCTAACAGTTCATCTCTAAAAGCAAGAGCCCATRCTAAAAAYATGATGTTTCACTCTATAGGCCCTGTTGATAGTTAACGTCGCAAGCGAGTGTGGCTATACAGACCAACACTACMGAGAATTAGTTGAACTTCAAAATAAACTCTCCAGCAAAGACTTCGCCATACTCGCCTTTCCCTGCAACCAGTTCGGTAATCAAGAACCCAAGCGAAACAGCGGAATCTTACGATTTGCACGMAACACTTATGGCGTCAAGTTTCCTTTRTTTGGAAAGATAAAAGTGTACGGAGAAGCAGCACATCCCATATACAAGTTTCTGATTCGTAAAACTGGCCATCAACCCACGTGGAATTTCAACAAGTAYCTATTGGACCGCGAAGGAAACGTGGTTAAGTACTGGGATCATCAAGTATCGCCGTTGCAGTGTTTGAAGCGCATCAGTGAAWTGATCACACATGCCTTTGATAAAGATTTCCAGACATTTCGAGTCAATGGTGAACTTTGAAAGGATTATGTCTAACTTGACTGTGTGGTTTCCTAGTTTTGCCTACTGTGATATGCAAACTTAGTATGTCGTTGTTATATACACCCTTTTGATAAGTCCCGAGGTAATACGTTCTCCGCACTTGACGTCAAATTTATTCTTTTGAATTCCTTTTGTATTGTAAAATTTCAAAAGAATAAATTTGACGTCAAGTGCGGAGAAAACAATGCCTCGGGACTTATTAAAAGGGTGTATAGAGTGTAGCATTTAGTGGACAACTTTCCTAGTTTACAGTAGCTCATGTACTTCATATTTTAGTAGGTGCCAATTCATGAGGTCTTACATGAAGTATTGACCGCTTTCCTGGTTCTCCTTGTATAGCCCGCGTTGCTACCGGTGTGCGGTTTTAGGTGCGCGGCCAGATGAAAGCAGGCCACGAGTTCCCGAGAGCTGAGCTTGATTTACTAGTTCTCTTTGTTTTTTGCTTGCTTTGTTTGTTGTTGTTGTTGTCGTCTTTGAGAGGCGCAAGTGCTGTTTCTAACATACGGCCTTGGAAAACAGCAGCTTCAATCCGGTGTCAATCAATAACAGAGGGAAATAGTAAACCGCTGACACAAGGGTACTCAGGATTCACTGTAAGATCTTGGMGAATGATCGCACCATGACACTGATATTTTGCGTCCGAAAGTGCGATTACAGCTAGGATTCACATGTGTCCACAGTGGAAATTTCTATATATGATATCCAAGGAAATCAAATCAAGGAGAATTTATAAATGATCTTATGGAGCCAGTGTGCATAATATGTTCAATGTCATGATTTAAGCATCTCTTTATTTTACTACTTCATTACTATTCTACAATCTAGAGCCAGTTCTACTAAGCTAAATGATCATTTTGCCATGGTCTTGCCTTGATGTTCCAAGTAGATGTTTGCCTTGTGCATCACTGATCTTTCTATAATAAAAAAAAACAACAGCAACCGTGGAACTTTGTCATCGTTTCATCATGGCTTGGTTTTGATGCTAAAATATGAGTAAAACAGCTGACAAAATCAGTCCCTATTGCTGTTTAATGATTCCTTGTCATTCGTCACATTAACGCAATGCGAACATTTCATTCTAAGCATCAAAAACAAGGACTTGTAGAAAGAACAAACGGGTCATGCAGAGGTAAATTTGTAGACTTCCTCAATTTTTGCATGTATACAGCAAGAAAGCAGAAACATGATTCTAAGGTCATCTCTCTGATAAATTAAAAATGCTGTTTCTAAACGAACCAATTACCACGTTGGTTCACTTACCATGGTCTTCTTAATCCAATCCACAAACCTACTGAGACGTGTAAGAACCGTGTAATAAGACGTATCACATTTGATATGGGACCAGCTAAACAAACCTCGAGCGACCCACTTATCCCCTTCTTTGCAAGCAAGAGGAGATCCATTGTCGAGGATACAGCCAGTGCGTTTACCATCTCCTGTAGCACAAAACATGGTTTCTTTGTCAACAGGGAAAAGAGTGTTCATCTTTTCGGCGCAGTCCTTGTCATCGACGATTTGTAACTCTATTTCATTGAG